CACTTTCAGTAAGCAAGGTTGTTGATGAATCTTCCTCCAATCCTGATGTTGTACTGTTCTTCACATCAAATTATGTGCTCTACCATACAGACTAAAAAAGTATCATGAAAAGATACAACCCTAATATGCAACTTTCCTGATTTTAAAAACACTTCATATTTACCTTCTTGTTGTGTTTGAAAGACTGCCTCTTGGTCTATGTTCAGGTTCCTCATGAACACAATTAAATGTTCTGGAATTCTCATTCTTCACAATATTATCCATGATTTGTTATGACCCACACAAATACCTTTGCATAATAATTTTAAAAAGAAAGAAACAGGTAAACATGTTTCTAGTATTCTCTGCTTTCAGCCAAGATACATCTGACATCGTCAATGATATCACTCATTCCATGTCCTCTTCCGAATCTGACTTGAATTTCAGGCTGTTCCCTGTCATGTTCTGTGGCAACTATTTTTAAATTATCATCAGCAAAATTTTTCTTGAGTGCTGTACAATTTGGATTTCTTCCTTCAATACCATCAGTTTGGGATCACATGATACTTTCTGAAGTGGCTGAATGTTGATCAACTGTTCTTGGTACAGTGATTCAGTGTATTCCTTCTGCCTTTTTTTGGATGATTCTTGCATCTTCCAATATTTTGCCTGTGGAATTCTTCACTATTGCAACTTGAGATTTGAATTTTTCTCAGCTTGAGAAATGCTGAACATGTTTTTTCTTTGTGTTTTCTAATTCTAGGCCTTTGCACATTTCATTATAACACTTTGTTTTCTTGAGCCACTTTTTAAAATCTTCTGATCAGTTATTTTATTTCAGCACTGCTTCCATTTGCTATATCTGCTCTACTACATTCAAGGGCAAGTTTCAAAGTCTCTTCTGACATCCATTTTGGTCTTCACAAGGGGGAAGGAGGATCAAGGTCAACAGCCTGAGGCTTCCAGTGAGGTAGAGGTCAGACATCCCCTACCTTTCAACCTTTTTACCAATCCTGACACCAACTGTCCCTCCCATGGTGCTCTCTACTTACTCTGCTGGATTTGATTATTTGTTGCAGTGGCCACACATGATTATGAGGTCTATTAAGGAGGTAATAGGTTACAATTCAGGACCAGAACTGTTTCAGATGCAGTTCTTCAATCAGGATAGCCTCTTCTCAACCATGGCCACAGGCAGGTCTCTCTCTAGCCCTTGGCATTTTTGCCCCTCAAGCTGGCCTCTGCCCTACTTGGGCAAGTGTTACACAACTCTTTTAGCTCTGCCCATAAGAGCATAGACACACACCTCACACCACCAGTAAGCCTCAGCCCAAAGGCTCCCAGCTCGAGCTCTGTGGATCAGCAAACCTTACCTGAAGGCACTCAGTTTTCTTGCTCCATAGGCCAGGAAACCTACCATCTATCTCCCACCAGTCTCCTGGGTCTGCTGCCTCTGTTGCTGCTGTTTCTCTGCCACCACTTCTATGCTGCCACTTCTTGACATCTCTCCAGTGTGACAACTTTCTGTCTCCTAGGTTGAGGTCATTCCCAGTGCAGGGACCCTGGATCCAAAGGATGCCTTCCAGTACCATCTCTTCTTCTTAGTTTCCCTCTTGCACCTCTGGGATGGCTCATTTTAAGCCTAGTAGGATAGCAAAACTGACCAATCCCTACATTAAGGTCTCATATACTTTATTTGGGAGCTCTGGTAGCATAGTGGCTAAGGCACTTGACTGCTAACCAGAAGGCTGGCGGTTCAAATCCACCAGCCACTCCTCAGAAGGAAGATGGGGCAATCTACTTCCGTAGTGATACTGCCTTGGAAGCCCAAGGAGGGGTCGCTATGAGTTGGGTCCGACTCGACGGCACATAACAACAACAATACTTTATTTGCATGGGCTCACTCTCCCTAACCACCACTCGTCTGTTAGTTTGTCATACTGTAGTACCTTACATGTTGCTATGAGGCTGGAGACTAAGTCACTGGTATTTCAAACCAGCAGAGTCACCCACGGTGGACAGATTTCAGCAGAGCTTCCAGAGTAAGACAAACTGGGAAAAAGGAAGAGGCCATCTACTTCTCAAAGAATTGGCCAGTCGACTTCTGGTAAGATGGAGGAATAGGCAGACAAGTGACACAGACCTTCTTCAACAAATAAAAGAAAAAACAATTGACAGAGATACAGAAGATAATCCTGGAGCCCTGAGATTTGAAAGGAGCTATACAGAAGTGGATTAGGCACCAACTAGGAGAAAAACCTGATCGAAAACAGTAAGTACAGAGATGGTTGGAACTGCGGACTGTCAGCTAAAAAGAGGGAAAAGACTGTGTTGTTACAGAACTTCTAGATGGTACAGAAGAGAAGACAATTACAAGATAGAATGGACTGTTCTAAACTTGGGAAGAAAACTACAAATCACAGGGTAACCTCAAAGAAAAATGATAAACCTTCACATCAAAACAAAAAAGATGACCAGCATAAGTATTCAGCAAATACTAAAACAATAGCAATGGAGGAAGTGATGACACAATTCATAAACAAAATGAGCTCAGCATAGAAAATTATATGGAACAAAGAAATTGACACTATGAAAAAGCATATGACAAAAATGACAGCAACAAATTCGTATTTGCCAATAATTACGTATCTGGCAAGGGACTTATCTTTCTAAGATTTATAGAAAACTCCAATGCGTCAACACCAAAGGAATAAATAATCCAATTGAAAAATGGGCAGAAGACATGAATAGACACTTCACTAAGTAGGATACTCAGGTGGACAGCTAATACATGAAGAAAGGCTCACAATCACTGGCCATCAGAGAGATGCAAATCAAAACAACGAGATAGCATCTTACCCCAGCACTGATGGCAAGTTTCAATGAGACAGAAAATAACAAATGCTGGTGGGGACGTGGAGAGGTTGGGGTTCTCATACACTGCTGGTGGGACTGGGAAGTGATACAACCACTGTGGAAAGCAATATCGTGGTTCCTTAGAAAGCTAAAATTGGAAATACCATTTGACCCAGCAATCCCATTGCTAGGTACATATCCTAGAAAGGTGAGAGCCAGGACAGGAACAGAGATATGCACATTCATGTTCATCACAGCACTATTCACAAAAGCAAAAAGATGGAAACAACCTACGTGCCCATCAGCAGAAAAGTGAATGAACAACCCATGGTACGTACACATAAAAGAATGTTATGCAGCATTAAAGAATAATGTAGAGCTTGCAAAACACTACATGGATGAACTTGGAGGACATTATGCTAAGTGAAATGTCAATCACAGAATGACAAATACAGTACTAGTTCATTGTTGTGGGGGGTCAAGGAAAGGTTTCTATATGGAGGGAAACTTTGTTGGTTGCCAGGGGTGGGAGGAGAGGGGAGGAACACTGAAAAAAAAAAAAGAAAGCATTGACCCATGTCACTTTAGTTTTGTGTATTTTACTGTGCATAAATTATATTTCAATAAAATGAATTTTAAAAAAATATTTGGCCAGTGAAAACTGTATGAACAGCAGTGAAACACTGTCTGATATACTATAGTGCACAACTGTGCAGTGTTTTGTTCTGTTGTACATATGGTTGCTATTAGTCAGAGCTGACTCAGTGGCATCCAACAACAAAAACAATTCCCCACAAGGTGCCATGCATCTCATTTGTAACATTAGCAAGCTATCTAATCCACTTTTGGAGTCATAAGCACCTCACACTTGCATAGTCCTACCCAATCATTTGATGGGAGTTATAAAGACTATGGCTAGAAAGAGCCATATTAAATAATTATTCACTGCACCACTATTCCAAAAGCTTTACTCCATCTACATCCTTAAGATCAACTCTGCTTTGAGGAGGCATCTCTTCCCTAGATGTATTTTGAGTGCCTTCCAACCTGAGGGGCTCATCTTCTAGCACTGTATCAGATAATGTTCCAATGTTATTTATAAGGTTTTCACTGGACAACTTTTATAGAAGTAGATCACTAGGTCCTTCTTCCTAATCTGTCTTAGTCTGGAAGCTCTGCTGAATTGTGTCCACCATGGGTGACCCTGCTGGTATTTGCAATACTGGTGGCATAGCTTCTAGTTGCTTCAAAACAACATGCAAGTGTTAAAAAGCAAAGATGTCACTTGGAGGACTAAAGCATGCCTGACCCAAGACACACTATTTTCAGTTGCCTCATATGCATGTGAAAGGAGGACAATGAGTAAGGAAGACTGAAGAAGAATTGATTATTTTGAATTGTGGTGTTGGTGAAGAATACTGAATATACCATGAACTACAGAAAGAACAAACAAACCTATTACAAACCAGTACAGCCAGAATGCTCTGTAGACAGGAGGCTGGCAAAACTTAGTCTTACACACTTTGGACATGTTATCAGGAGGGATTAGTCCTGCAGAAGGACACTATGCTTGGGAAAGCAGAGGGTCAACAAAAAAGAGGAAGACTCTCAATAAGATAGATTGACACAATGGCTGCAACAATGGGCTCACATAATGATTGTGAGGATGGTGCAGGACTGGGCAGTGTTTCATTCTGTTGTACACTGGGTTGTTGTAAGTCAGAATCAACATGTTGGTACCTAACAATTTAAAAAAAAATAAATTCACTGCCATCGAGCCGAATCCGCCTTGTAGTGACCCCTCCTTGGGTTTCCGAGGTGGTATCTCTCTAAAAGTAGATTGCTCAGTCTCCCTTCTGAGGAGTGGCTGGTGGGTTTGAACCTCCAGCCTTCTGGTTAGCAATCAAATACCTTATGCACTACACCCCCAGAATTCCCACCTAATAATAACAACGTGATTATAATACGTTTTTCTCTGTGGGCCAAGATTTTGAGTACAACTAAGTAAAGCAAAAAAAAGTAAAATGCTTAATTTTCTATACACAGGTGGGGTAAAAATGGTGACTTTCAGGCTTTCACAAAGTCTCACTTTTACAGGTGGGGGAGCTACATGTGTGGGGGAGTACAATGGTCCTCCTCCATAGATTCAGATGTGGTCAACTTACCTGTAAGGGCCATAGGAAGTAACGGAAATCTCCACTGACTCCAGACTTTGTGTACATCTCAGCCGTGCCCCCTGTGGTTAGCGAGAGGAGTGCCAACTTACCCTGGAGAAGAAAGGACAGTGTGTGTGAACTCAGGAACAGCAGGTACATACTACTGCTCAAAGGGCTTACAATGACCAAGAAGGACATCTGAAGCTCATTCCCTCCAAGGACAAAGATGTAACATCTCATGTCTCTCAGGCTGGTAGCTACATCCCAACCGGAGGTCCCAGAGTGGCTGAGGGCAGTGGTCTGAGTGAAAGTGAATGTGTTCAGGCTTCTGGCAGGAACAAGGTTTCAAAGAAGCCATCTGTGAAATGTGTCCAGCCAAGGCACCAACCTTGCGGGGCTGCCACAAGCACTGAGTGGAGACTCATCCTTGAGGTACCACCTCATGATATAAGGACCTCGGATGTTCAGACTTTCCTTCTCCACACTTACTTTCTGAGGCCTTTTGAATTTTAAGCAATAATTTATTGGTAAAAACTTATTTTAGTAATATAGCCTTAGCTCCCAGTCATCGAGCATCTACCAGGCCTCCTGCAGCCCTCGCCCCACAGGGCAGAAATTCCATCACCTTGTTCTACCAAGTAAGAATCCAAAGCCCAGATAAAAGATTGTATGTATTCTGTGTTTGGCTCTTCATCATGGGGTACAACCTCTTCTGTGGAGCCAGAGTCTTACCCCACGTGAGGCCATCTCAACCCATCACAACACCCAGCCCCCAGCCCCTCTTGGAGGTACATGCATGGGCATGTCTATGTCTTCCACTACAGTAAAGGCTGCATGTCTTCAGAAACTACATAGTCTCCATCTTTACCTGGTGTGTGTGACTCTGCACATATTAGTATACAAAAACTAACTAGAAGTATAACCTGATTAGCCACCCAACACACACACACACACATACACTATCACTCACAAACAAGCTCACACACACTCATACATACCAAACACACTGACATGCACACGTACACACACGTATACCTCATAGCAATCCTGGTCCAGACCACATACCTTGAGGAAACCAGAGTCATAGAATCCAGGAATGTCAAAGGCGAACCCTTGGCACAGCACCCTGTCCATCCAGCCCTTCAGGATGGCTGGCACACTGAACCAGTACAGCGGGAACTGAAGCAGGACATAGGGAGAAGCAAATACTGTGACTGTTTCAGAATCTCCTCCTTTATTCTACCTGAAGATTTAGAACAAATCTCACTGTGTTGATCTTTCTCTTGGTGGTCATGGTGGGGCAGGTGGGCACATCCATGTGGGCAGCATGAGTTGGGAATATTTCTTTCCTTTCTCTCTGAGGCTCAGTGTGGGTGTAGTGATGGTGGGGTGGATAGTGGGCACAGGCTTCTGTGTTCTCAGTGACAGCTCCCAGACATTTGTCTCTGTGTAGGCATGGAGACAGTGGGAAGCCCTGCTGGATACTGGTATGGCAGCAGTCCCTGTGACTGAGCTAGTCAAGAGGGGTGGAATATCTGCTTGCCCCTGTCTTACAATCACACACACAATTTCACACCTGCTCAGCTCCACCATCTAGCTGCAATTTGGTGGGGCTGGTCCTTTCTGGGGGTGGTATCACATTCCTGGACAATTTGTGAACAAATACAAGGAAAGTAAGCAGTGAGGAACCAGGGAGAGGAAAGGAAAGAAGGTGTCCCTCCCAGTGATCAGAAGATTTCAGGCAGTAGTTGCTCTGGCCCCAATTGTCTGGACAAACACTGTGTAGAGAAGCAGTTCCTGAATGTCTGGGGTAGGCACTGGATGGGATGGAAAACAAAGGGATCTGCATGGCAGAGACATTCTGTGGGCCATTGGGGTAAAGGACAATCCTTCATGAATATGTACTGGAGGGTGAGCATTTTAAATGCATGATACTAAGGATACATAAGGACCTCTGGTGGTACAGTGGCTAAAGAATTTTGCTGCTAACCAAAAGGTCAGCAGTTCAAACCCACCAACTGTTCTGTGGGAGAAAGATGAGGCAGTCTGCTTCCGTAAAGATTTATAGCCTCGAAAATGCTATGGGGGCAGTTCTATTCTATCCTATAAGGATGTTATGAGTCAGAACAACTAGATGGCAGTGACTTTTTTTTTTTTTTTTGGTATTGGCTCTGTGGATCTCCTTATCCAACTAGAGAGAGATTATGTGTGCAAATGTGCTAAAATAGGTTGACTCTAATTCAATTTACACATCAGAGGGAACACAAACCTGAAATATCACTAGATTGGCTTCCTGAACCTTTTTCTGCTCATCCATTATATCTCTGGCCAGAGATCTCTTCTTGTAGGCGTCAAAGGCTTCCACACCATAGTTGAAGAACTCAGGATTAGAGCATGCACCTGGAGAAGAACAGGCCATGTGATCTTACCTCAGTGAGCATCTACACCAAACCCCCACGAGAGCTGTACATTACCTGGACCCTCAAAGCAACTCAATAGACATTCTTTGAGCTCCTGGTAGGTACTGGACCTTGGGGTTATGGAAACGGAGGTTTCCCAAAGTTCAAAGAGAGTCCAATGGGAGAACTAGATAAATGATTAATGTACAGAATGATTATCCACTTATGTTATGTTGTTATGTGCCGTCGAGTCAGACCTGACTCATAGTGACCCCTCCTTGGGTTTCCGAGGCAGTATCACTACGGAAGTAGATTGCCCCATCTTCCTTCCAAGGAGTGGCTGGTGGGTTTGATTATCCACTAGCTCAGTCTAATATTGTGACCAGATGTGCCTCACACCCAACAATGAAAATGCAGAGCTGCATGTAGTTTTGGTAGATTTAATAGGTCCAGCACTGCCCTGAGGAGGCTATGGCCAGCTCTCGTGAGTGGGAGAGGAAACATGCCCTAGAAAGAGTTTTGCAAGCCAGATCTTGAACTCTGGGTAGGAGTTCACTAGGCTTCCTGGGGCACTGGAGGGAAAAGGGGGACATTCAGGGCAAAGACAGGAAGGGGTGCAACCACCAGGCTCACAGGGAGGGAGCATACCTGTGGTATTGGGCTGAATGGCGGGAGGGCTCAAACTGAGACAAGCCTGCCAAGGAGTCTACACTTTTCCTGCACCTAGTATGCAGCCATGTGAGGGTCTTCAGCAAGAAAAATAACCAAGCTCTGAGAACTGGGTCAGGGAGGCTTACTATAGCAGCAGAGATTTGGGGAAATGCCTGGGGCAGGGCTCTGGTGGCCCAGGCATGAGTGAGGGTAAAATCAGGCAGCAGCAGTGGGGACTGAGAAGAGAGGTATTGATGGAACTGAATCTAAAGCATGGACTCCAGCAACTACCATAGAAAGAAAACTTTTGATTTGTCCTTTCATTGGGTTTGGTTGACCAAAATTATCTATTTTTAGAGAATTGATTAGTATTCATAAGTTGTTGCTGTTCATTGGGAGTCCCTGGGTGATATAAACAAGCTCAGCTGCTAACTGAAAAGTTCGGGGTTGTAGTCCACCCAGAGACACTTCAGGGGGTGCGGAAAAAAGGCCTGGCAATCTACTTCAAAGAATCAGTCACAGAAAACCCTATGGAGCAGTTTTAGTATTGCCATGTGTCAGATTCTACTTAACAGCAACCAGTTTGGCTGGTACCATTCACGGAGCAATTCCTACCTGTGGGGTGCTATGCAATGTACTCTCAATCTACCACTTCTGTGATCTTTACAACAATCAGTGAGATCAGGGTCACTCCCCATCAACAAATGAGGAAAACCAAGACCCAATGAAGGCTAAGTGATTTTTTTTCATGCCTCATGTGTTCTAAGTGGCAGAGATGACACAGAAGTTGGATTATCCCATGTTCAAGCTTTGAAAGACTGCACCACACTTCAGCCAGAGAGAAGCCAGAATGAGGATTTGGCCAGTAGTCTTTCGACAATTAACAATTTAGTGTTCTGGGCTTTCTCTTTTAATATCTGCATTTGATTTTCATTCAGAAAGTACATACTGAATGCAAGGAAGGTTCAGCATCAGAAAAACAATCAATGTAATCCATCACATAAGTAAAATAGAGGAAAAGAATCACATGATCATATCAATAGATGCAAAAAAGGCATCTGATAAGATTCAACACCCATTCCTGATTTGAAAAAAAAAAAAAAACTCTCAGAAAAAATACGAACACAAGAGAAATTCCTCAACACCATAAAGGACATATATGCAAAACCAAAGGCTAACATTATTCTCAATGGAGAAAGACTAAAACCCCTCCCCTTGCAAAAAGGAACCAGACAAGGATGCCCTCTATCACCACTTCTACTAAACATTGCATTGGAAGTCCTAGCCACGGCAATAAGGCAACAAAGGGAAATCAAAGGCATCCCAATTGGTGAGCAAGAAGTAACACTATCCCTATTTGCAGATGATATGATCCTATACATACAAAACCCAAAAGACTCAGCAAGAAAACTACTGGAACTTACTGAAAGATTTAGCACAGTGGCAGGATACAAGATCAACATACAAAAATCAGTGGGATTCCTCTACACCAGCAAAGAGGTCTCTGAAAAGGAAATAAGGAAATCAATACCATTTATAATAGCTACCAAAAAGATAAAATACTTGGGAATAAATCTTACCAGCAACAACAACAACAACAAAAAAACCTATACAAAGAAAACTGCAAAACACTACTTCAAGAAATTATAAAATACGTATGTAAATGGAAGAACATTCCATGAACACTGTAAAAATGTCAATATTACCCAAAGCAATCTATACATTCAATGCAATCCCGATCCAGATTCCATCAATTTTCTTTAAAGACATGGAAAAAGCAATCACTAATACTATATGAAAGGGAGCTCTGGTAGCATAGTGGCTAAAGTCACTTGCCTGCTAACCAGAAGGCTGGCAGTTCAAACCCACCAGCCACTCCTCGGACGGAAGATGGGGCAATCTACTTCCGTAGTGATACTGCCTTGGAAACCCAGGGAGGGGTCGCTATGAGTCGGGTCCGACTCGATGGCACATAACAACAACAACAACAATACTATATGAAAAGGAAAGAGACCTCAGATAAACAAAGCAATATTGAAGAGGAAGAACAAAGTAGGAGGTCTCATACTTCCAGATTGCAAAACCTACTATACAGTCACAGTAGTCAAAACAGCCTTGTACGGGTACAACAACAGACACAGACCAGTGGAATAGGACTGAGAACTCAGAAATAGATCCATGCACCTATGGTCAGCTGATCTTTGACAAAAGATTGAAATCCATTCAATGGGGAAGAGACAGTCTTTTTCAAAAATATTGCTGGCAAAAGTGGATATTCATTTGCAGAAAAATGAAACTAGAGCCATGCCTCACACCATACACAAAAACTAACTCTAGATGAATCAAGGACTTAAATGTGAAATCTAGCACTATAAACCCTTCAAAGAAAAAATAGGGGCAAACGTATGGGCCCTAATTTGTGCCATAAAAAGACTATCGATCTTAACCCAAGATGCACAAATAGCAGAAAGTAAACTAGACGACTGGGACCCTCTAAAAGGTAAATTCTTATGTGCATCAAAAGACTTCTCCAAAGCATAAAGAGAACCTACAGTTTGGGAAAAAATATTGGCAATGACATATCTAACAAGGAACTTATCTCTAAAATTTATAGAAAACTCCAACACTGTAACATAAAAAAGACAAGCAATCCAATAAAAAAAAAATTGACAGAAGACATGAATAGACACTTCACCAAAGAAGATATTCAAGAGGCCAACAAACACATGAAGAAATGCTCGCAATCATTAGAGAGATAAAAATCAAAACAATAAGATACCATCTCACCCCAGCACTAATAGCAAAGTTCAATAAGACAGAAAATAACAAATGCTGGCAAGGATGTGGAGAGATTGGGACTCTCATATGCTGCTGGTAGGATTATAAAATGGTACAACCACTATGGAAACTGCTGTGGTGATTCCTTAAAAAGTTGGAAATAGAAATACCATTTGATTCAGCAATCCCATTACTAGGAATACACCCTAAACAAATGAGAGCCAGGGCACAAATAGATATATGCATACCCATGTTCCTCACAGCACTATTCACAATAGCAAAGGGATGGAAACAATCTAAGTGCCCAACAATGGAGGAATGGATAACTAAACTGTGCCACATATACATAATGGAATACTACGCAACACTAAGGAATAATGTAGAATCTGCAAAACATCACATAACGTGGATGAACTTGGAGGACATTATGCTGAGTGAAGTACATCAATCACAGAAGGACAAATATTGTATTACTCCACTATTGTAAAAGGTCAAGGAAAGGTTTACATATGGAAGGAAATTTTCTTTGTTGGTTACTAGCTATGGGAGAGAAGGGGAGGGAAAATTGTTAGATTTTTTTTTAAAAAAAAAGCACATTCTGAGTGCCTTCTATGTATAAGGTCCTGTCTTTACACGAAACCCTAAGAGGGTAACTATTGTAGGTAAGAGGTTGTGTTTTATCAGTAAGGTTTTCAAACAGGATTTTAGTTTCCCACATTATGTGAAACCTATAGCAGATGTAATAACAACATAACAACAACATAGCAGACATAGTTTTGATACTTACTGGTGATTGGAATGGAAAAGTTGGAAACAATGAAGGATCAGTAGTTGTAAAATACAGCTTTGATGTCAGAAATGATGCCAGAGATCACATGATAATATTCTGCAAGACCAATGACTTATTCATTGAAATATGTTTTTTCAACAATACAGTGATGACTATACATGTGAATCTTGACAAATGGATTTCACAAGAGTCAAACTGACTACATCTGTGGAAACAGAAGTTCCGTATCATCAGTCAAAATAAAGCCAGGAGCCAAAAGTGAGACAGACTATGAATTACTCATATGCAAGTTCAAGTTGAAGCTGAAGAAAATTAAAATAAGTCCATGAGAGCCCAAATACAACCAGGAGTATATCCCACCTGAATTTAGAGACCATCTTAAGAAGAGATTTGACAGACTGGACACTAATTACTGAAGACCAGAAGATTTGTGGCATGACACTGAGAATATAATACAGGTAGAAAGTATATGTTGTGTTGTTATGTGACATCGAGTCAGACCCTACTCATACTGACCCCTCCTTGGGTTTCTGAGGCGGTATCACTACAGAAGTAGATTGCCTATGGTCACTAAAAAGACAGGAAAGAAGGAAAAGGCCAAAATGTATGTCAGAAGAGACTCAAAATTGCTCTTATGTGCAAAGTAAGTAGCTAAAGCAAACAAAAGAAATTATGAAGTAAAACAGCTGAATGGGAGATCTCAAAGGGCAACTTGAGAAGACAAAAGATTAAATGAAGTGTGCAACACCTGGAATTAGAAAACCAAGAGGGAAGAACACATT